AGAAATGCTTTGTTTTCTATCCTCAGCAGGTTCCAGGGGTTTTGTACACGGGCATCACATGACCATCAGCCATACCTGGTCCCCGCCCCTCCCGATGTGCTCATCCACTCACGTCGCTCCATCTCCAGCGCAGTCTAGACATGCCTTCAGAATATTCTACCTGCGCTCGCCCTAGACCCTCTCTCACAAGATCATACTCCACTCAGGTCTAGAGGCTCCCCGTACTCACCTCTACTGCCCCCTACTGGCTGACAGAGACAATGACAGCAATAGCCACTCATTTGAATCGGGATTATTTTCTAATGACAGCCTCATGCTTGTCTGAATCCTCATAGTATCTGTCTCTTATCTTTTGGGTGGGTGTTTTGTATTATTTTTGCTAAAGGAAAGTGTTCCAACTGATAATAATCTTCCATCTCTGTAAATTTGCAGTGTATTTGCATTATTAATGCCAGACATTGACATTCTGTGTACATTCTATAAAGATTTTCTCATCTAACAGCCATACAGAAACTGTGAAATTTAAGATTTAAATTAACATCTACTGACATTTAAGAGTGAAAGGAAGAAAATCGATTCTATTTTTGGAAATATAGATTGGTAGGATGTAGCAAACTACTATTAAGCGTATTTGAAAGATAATAAATAGATTGTTAGCACTATTTTTATGGCAAGTAAGTATTGAAGTTAAGTATCCATGGAGCAAAATATTGCATTATTCAGAAATAGGGTTATAGAGAATCAATAGCTGTACAGAGACAGTTTTCAAGACTATAATATATTTAATAACATTTCAGCACCAGTTAGGTGGGATGTGAAGGAGACAAATATGTACAGGATGTAGCAAATGTTTTATATCTTACATTGTATAAAATGTGAATGTTTTCCCTTGGGATTTTCCTGCTAGAATTATTGACAGTTTAAGTCAATTTAGTGATATAATCCAGAACCAAAAATACAGAGACTAAGGAATCACCTCAGGTTTCATCCTAAGGTAAATGGGATACATCTACCAACTGTCCGTGTCTCACATAAGATTATATAATATTTTGTAAATAACTCTCTTTTTCATATAATTTTTTTGGGGGCATTTTACATACAAATTACTATGTTTTCATTAAACAACTTCATTCTGTAGAATTTACTGAACATGTGTACAAGAAACTTGCGTGAAACACTCATTTGTGATTTTTAAAAAATTTTTTTTTTTTAAAGATTGTGAAACTGAAAATATTCTGTAAAGCTTGTTGTCAGACATTTTGTCTATTGATGTGATTGGCTATTTTGTAAGCCAACATTTTTCTACATATTTCATCCACTGAAGGAAGTGAGATAAAGCCTCTGTATGTAACATGCTTGAATGTGACTGTTCAGGTATAGGCCTCCTTTCATTTTGTAAAAAATAAATAAATAAATAAAATAATAATAAACTTTAAAGTTCAATATGAAGATAGATGATTCTTGCAGATCAGCTGATTGTTAATTAAACATTTAATTAAAAGGAAATGGTCTGAATTTTGTTTTATTATTATTGCAGATCGCCCTCTGGTGGTGCTTGATAAAGTGCTTGAATGTGACTGTTCAGGTATAGCCCTCCTTTCATTTTGTAAAAAATAAATAAATAAATAAAATAATAATAAACTTTAAAGTTCAATATGAAGATAGATGATTCTTGCAGATCAGCTGATTGTTAATTAAACATTTAATTAAAAGGAAATGGTCTGAATTTTGTTTTATTATTATTGCAGATCGCCCTCTGGTGGTGCTTGATGAAACTTAAAGGGGTCATAGGATGCCCATTTTCCACAAGTTGATATGATTCTTTGGGGTCTTAATGAAAAGTCTGTATAATAGTTTGGTTAAAATTTCTCAATGGTAGTGTAAAAAA